GCTCTTAATGTTTATTTTTGAGAAAGAGACAGAGTGTGAGCAGGGGAGGGGCAGAGAGAGAGGGGGACAGAATCTGAAGCAGGCTCCAGGCTCTGGACTGTCAGCACAGAGCCTGACGTGGGGCCTGAGCTCACCAACTGAGAGATCATGACCTGAGCAGAAGTCAGAAGCGTAACTGACTGAGCCACCCAGGAACCCCAGAAAAGTTTTAATACAGGGGCACCCGGGGGGCTCATTTCGCTAAGCGTTCGACTTTGGCTCAGGTAATGATCTCATGGTTTGTGAGTTCGAGCTCTGCTTTCCACACAGAGCCCACTTCAGATCCTCTGTTTCTCTCTCAAAAATAAATAAACATTAAAAAAAAAAAAAGGTTCTAATACAAACTCAAGAGTGGCTCTAGGAGGACAGCTTTGGGAGCACAGGATATTTACCCTCCAGATTCCATTGCTGGGAGTCAGTGGCCCAGCAGTAGGGTCTAGAGATGGAAAAAATATAAATAGAAGGCAGTTGGATAAGTGGAACTGCAGAAACAATGCCTAACAGGGTAGAACAACTGTAGCAACCAAGCTGATAACTTTTTATTGAGTGCATGCTATATTAATAGGTACGTACGATATGCCACTTTACATTCTCTCAAAACCTCTCACTCCAAAGAGACAATACATTTCTCATTCCACAAAAGAGGAATAGGCCAGAGAGAATGTATTATTTGAGATCACCCAGCTATTAAAAGAAAGATTAAAAAAAATAATTGAAAATCAAATGTAGCCCACTGTAAAGGCAGAACTCCGAGGTTAACCTGAGATAGAATGACACAGCTCAGCTCACAGACGGAAGAATTTGCATACAGTCATCTTGAGAGCACTCAGAGGTGTCATCTGTTTGCTTTGTTTCTTCCTGCTAGGCAGTGAGTGATCTTTTTGAAGATAGGACTAGGGCTCTCTTATCTGTCTTCCGAGTGCCTTCCTAGTGGGCACCATTTCAGCCTTAATTATTTATTGAACGTTTACAACGTGTCAGACACATAAGCCTCTGGGATAGGGCTGGCTTGTGGGTGTGCAACTAGCATAATTGCACAGGGCCATGTATTCAGAACAGCACTTGGTTTAGTGCTCTGCTGTCCACCACCCTGCAATTCTTAACTTTATATTTGAACTTTTAGGACCACTAGGACAATGGAGCACGTGCAGGATCAGAGGCCGGAGGTGCATCGGGCATGTCCACCACCACCATTCCTTGCTACTTCACTCCCATAATGCATTTGTGAAGCCCCAAGAACACAGAAATCTAGTGGACCCACCATCTGTGGGAGTTCAGGGAGACTTAAGGTCCCCGGATTGCATAGTGTTGGTGTTGCATACATCAAGAAGTAAAAAAAAAATATGTTAGTTTTGTGCAGTTTCCACTGTTCTGGTAAGAACAAAATACATGTTTGTATGAGCTACAAAATACATATTGTGAAATTTAATCAATTCTGCATACGAGTTGACTGTTCTTTCATCTGTATTTAAAACTGGCACTGCACGATAGAAAAAGTAAAACATGCTAATAATTTAAATTTTAAAAATTTTTAATGTTTATTTATTTTTGAGAGAGACCGAGCGCAAATGGGGGTGGGGGTGGGGGGTGGGCAGAGAAAGAGAGACAGAGACACAGAATCTGAAGCAGGCTCCAGGCTGCAAACCGTCAGCAACAGAGCCCAATGCATCGGGCTTGAACTCACGAACTGGGAGATAATAACCTGAGCCGAAGTCCGATGCTTAACGGACTGAGTCACCCAGGCGCCCCCAAATTTTTATTTTGACATTAAATAGCAAATTTCTATTAACAAATGAATACTAACATGCTGTTATAATTAATAGAAAGTTGATGCTATTAGTTGAAACACGGTGACAAGCCAAAGGAGATACTAGAAGAAAGGAGAGAGCTTACTTTTTAGTATCTTTAGTGGCGCTTCGCCCTGCTGTTCGAACAAGGGAGCCTGTATTTTTATTTTGTACGGAGTCTCACAAATTACATGGCCAGGGCGGCTCCCAAATATGACAGCGAGTAACACGACCATACCTGTCGTGGCGTTTCCAAGTAGTTCATAGACTTGTGGAAATGCCCGCCTACCTAAGGGATTCGACTTTTACGCCTGGAATGTTTCAGTATGTAGAGAGAAACTATGTAAAGAGATCAGTTTACCTTCAAGGTCTGTTCAATCCTGAGACCACACTGACTCTACGGGACTAGGCAACTTTACGGGTCTATCATATGATACAAGAGACCTGAAAGTGGACACACCAAACCAGCTCATTCCTTTTTGTAACTCCTTTAGGAGAAAGAAAAAAACCACCCAAACTAGACTAGTTGAAACTTTTAACACTCAGTAGCCGTTCGGGGAACGAAGTCAAACACCCAGAAGAAAAAATCCACCGCTGGTGTCTCTTGCGACACGTTGCCCAGCTCCAGGAGGCTGACCCTCAGTTTGGAGGGAAAGAGTGAGCTAACAAAACAAGTCCAAAGGTGGAGAGGGGAACCGGGTGTGCAATGGAGTAACACCGGCTTCCAGTACAAAGGTTACACATTTTGAGTCAAGGTCAAGGCAGGGGTCTGTCACAGTTTCACACAGAAGAGATTTCTGAAGACAGAAGTAGATCTAACAAAACACAGCCGGCACCACACTCACCTCCACGCACACACCCCCGACCAGGCTTTAGGAAATCAGACGGCGGCTCAGCAAATGCGAGACACCGGAAACAGATCAGGCTGAGTGGCTGCCTCCTGGCAGTTCACACCCACTCCGAAAAGTTGACCCCATTTGCCGAAAAGTTCTTGGCTATTCCATTCACCTATTCAGTTAGCCGAGCCGACTCCTGAACCGCGAGAAATGCGTCTGTCAACCCCGCCTCCTCCGCTTTAGGGAGCTCAGGCACCGCCCACCCCAATCGCCCCGCCCCTCGCGGCGATCAAAATGGCGCTCCCGCATCTTGCTGCTTCCCACCTTTCACGTTCCTCGTGGCGTCAAGTGTTCTCGCGAGATTTCGGGCCCACTATTAGCTGGGTGGTGCGATGGGCCATCCTTTTCTTTCGAGAGGACGTGGAGGTAGGTGGTCCTAGGCGCGTTGGGGTGCTGCGGTCAGGAGGTTGCCGGATGCGGACCTCCGAGGCCTGGGTTGCTCAGCCCGTGCCGAGCCGGCGCTCCTGGTGCAAGCCGTTTGCCAGTTTGGGTGGGTAGGAAGAGGACGTGATCGTCCCGGCCTGGTGAGCGAGGGAGGAGCTAGGTTTCCCCGGGATCCTCGCGTTGCCCGGCAGGTTGCCGCCACAGCGCAGAAGGCAGGCCCTGAGGGTGGTGGGCTCGCGGCTGTGGGCCTAGTGGCTGGATGGCGGCCCACACCTACGCGTTTGTAGGCGTGCTCCGTTGTATGTTAGTGAAGTTGTTAAAATTAAGTATTACGGGCGAGCACACGTTTTGTTAATCTTCGTAAGTGCGAGGTAACCATTTCTGACGCCATTTTCCTTGCATGAGGTTGGGTGCTTCCTGGAGACATTCTACTCGAAGGTCAGGCATAGTGAGTGGTTGAAGGGGTTGTTAACCACCACGCACGAGCGCCGGATCGTGGGACGGAAGCGACACTTAGGAGTGCTTTCTTTAAAAATTTATTTTAATGGGGCGCCTGGGTGGCGCAGTCGGTTAAGCGTCCGACTTCAGCCAGGTCACGATCTCGCGGTCCGTGAGTTCGAGCCCCGCGTCAGGCTCTGGGCTGATGGCTCAGAGCCTGGAGCCTGCTTCTGATTCTGTGTCTCCCTCTCTCTCTGCCCCTCCCCCGTTCATGCTCTGTCTCTCTCTGTCCCAAAAATAAATAAACGTTGAAAAAAAAAAATTAAAAAAAAAATTTATTTTAATGGTTATTTATTTTTGAGAGAGTGTCGAGTAGGGGAGTGGCAGAGTCGGGAGGCAGGATGGGGCTGGAGCTCAGGAACGGTGAAATTGACCTGAGCTGAAGTGTACAACCGACTGAGCCCCCCAGGGGCCCCAGGAGTGCTTTCTAAACCGTTTCCGAAAAAGTGGTTTTTGAGTTAATGCCACTGTGATATTTAAAAGGCAGATTTAAACTCCGGTATCCCATCAGTGCCATTGGACCCAGTTTTTGTTAAATTGCTGTTTTTGGGCAATTCATGAATTCGTAGATTTTGCATTTTGAAAATGCAAAGCTGCAACAAGACATATCCTGAAAATTACCACGAGTCCGTTGGGTATTTTGCAGATACAAGATCTGTGTGACTTTAAGGATTTCCTGAGTTGAGATATTTTGCCATTTAATTCTAGGATTCCTTTCTTCCTTAGTTGTTCTTCCCAAGTAAAGACTAAACACAAGAGCGGAAGAATGGAGGCATCACCTATGGGGGAGATGAGGTAGCAAACTAGTAAGACAGTTTTTGCTTTGTTATTGTAAGAGCTTCCAAGGAGATTAAAACAAGAGAGATGAAGGGCACCATTGTGTAGTCTGTTAGCCTTTCCTTGAAAAGTTTGAGAATTCAGGACTTATCAGGAAATCCTATATGCCGAGATAGAAATTTCACAGTGACTTGGAATCACGGTATGAATGAGAAGAGGCTACAAATAAAAAAATGAGGCCAGCGGTTTGGATTGACAGAGTAAATCGTGGGGATTATTTCTGCTGATACACTGAGGCAGCATTGCCTCTTGCCTTCGGATGTAGTTTTTCCTGGGAGTGCTCATCTGCTCTTAACAAATGGCTTTTTGGCTATTAACGGTGTGTTAATACTTGCACACAATATGGCTAGTGAATTTACATTCTGTATTACGGGAAGATGTTTAATACTTTTTTTTGGAAATGTACTATAATCTTATTCCACTTGGATAGATTGAGAAGACACAACTGAAAGATGGAAACCATGAATTCACTTTGTAGATTTTAGAATTTTTGATTTGAAATGGATAGTTCCTATATAAAAATATTAAAGGCCTTGTATTTGATTTTTTCCTTAATTTACATAAAATGGCATTATCTGACTACGTGAAATTTTGTTTAGATAATAGCTGTTTATGTTAGCATTCGTTCGGAGAAGCCACATCATGTTTGCCGAGTTGTTGGAAATCTGAAGCAAGTAATAAGTGATGAATAATTTGGAGAGGAGCTTGGAGAATACATAACAGGAATGAATTCTCTGAACCCTATAATGGCATCTGATTCAGCTGTGGAAATTGAAAATCACAGGTAAGTGCTTTTTAAGTTTTTTAATCACCCATTACTAGATTTTTATCGCAAAGCTGACTAAATTTGATGGTAATGTTTATTGTATTTGAATTACCTAGTAAGCAGTAAAGGTAATTTTCAAGAATTAGAAAAGAAAAGGAAAACCTGTTACAGGTCTTCGGCTTGTTTATATAATTAACAGTGGGACACATTCTTAACCATGGAAGCAATACTCTTGGCCAGTTTGGTGTCTCTTCCTGATGAAATTACTCCTACAAACGGGCAATGGACATCAGTGGGTGATCTTGCTTAAAAATTACTTTGTGATACTGCACATTATCGAGAATGCTGGCATGTACATGTATATATATATATGATGGAAATATCTAGTTAACAGGGAAATGAAATGGGCATTTATACTGTATTCAAGTCAAATGTTTACTTTGTTCCTCTAGTTTTACTTAGAGCAAGTTCTAGCAGTAAACAAGACCGTCTTTGGAAATTAATATTCTTTCTTTTGGAAGATCATTTTTTGGTAAATGCTATGAGATCATGGCACTATAGGCCATTTTCAGCAGTTAGAACGAAATAGTTGGCTTAGTACTGAGCCCATCTTTTTAAAAATTATTCTGAACATGTTTTCCTGCTTTTGGTCTGTGGAAGAAAAGTGTATTACAGTAATCAGTATTCAGTAATACAAGAGGGTTTGATTAATTTTTCCCCTTTTTCTTCCAGTGATAATTCTTCATCTGGTAGCAGCTTATTTAAAACTCAGTGTGTCCCTTCCTCACCTAAACCGAGGCAAAGAAACCCTATCAGAAAATTTGTTTATTCACCTGAAAGTGTTCAAGCAAAGGATTCCTCTAGTGACTCATCTTTAGAACCAAGACCATTGACTTTAAAAGCTATTTTTGAAAGATTCAAAAAAAAGAAACGTAAAAAGAGGAAATACAAGCCAACAGGAAGACCAAGGGGAAGACCAAAAGGAAGAAAAAATACTAGACGCTCCCAAATAAATAGGAAACAAGTTAGAGACAAAGGATCTGGGTTCCCATTTTTAGAATCAGAGAATGAAAGAAAACCACTACCTTGGAGGAAGATTTTAACCTTTGAGGTCAGTATTTTATAAATGTGGATACACATAGCCAAAATGCCTGAAATGATTTGTTGGCCACTTTTAAGTGCCCCCCCCCCCTTTTTTTTGTAAAGTTTGTTTTTTTAAATGTTTACTTTTGAGACAGAAAGAGCATGAGTGGGGGAGGGACAGAGAGAGAGGGAGACATAGAATCTGAAGCAGGCTCCAGGCTCTGAGCTGTCAGCACAAAGCCCTACGCAGGGCTCGAACTCATCAACTGTGAGATCGTGACCTGAACTGAAGTCAACCGCTCAACCAACTGAGCCACCCAGGTGCCCCTGTAAAGTTTATTTTTGAGTGAAGGAGCCCACAAGCAAGCTGGGGAGAGGTATAGAGAGGAGGAGAGAGAATCCCAAGCAGTCTCTGCTGTCAGTGGTGAGCCGGAAAAATGTGGGGCTCAATCTCAACATTTGCCAGCCCCGTTCCAGGAAGTTTGACACAAGCATTCCAGGAGATGTCTGGATTTAGATTTCTCTAGAACTTAGCCCTGCTTGATTTAGGATAAATAAGGTCAGACACTACTTTGCTTTCAACTGTATCTCTTTATTCTTTTGGTAGTCTCTTCCAGAGTTAACTACTTGTGTTTGTAGGTGACGAAATGTGTAAGGAATTCATGTCTAATATTGGCACAGCTATAAGCATGGTCTTTCCCTTTACTTGAACAGAGTTAAGACTTGTGGTTCTTGTTTTTTATATTCCATTCCCAGAAGTAGTTTTCACTGTAGAAGTTACCTGCAGTTGGTCTTAGGCTTTCTCAGTAATCTACAGCCAGTCTCCCATGACCTGAGCCTAAATCCAGAATTAGATTCTCAACCAACTGAGCCATTCAGGCTCCCCTTGGTGGCCACTTTTAGAATTGAGATGTACCTGGAACATAAAATCTTCAACTTTGTTAATACTCTTCTGTACTAACTGCCACTTCAAGACCACAACCCATCCTTCAGCACAAATACCACTTGGGTTCCTGGGTGGATTCTTCACTGGTCTATTCAGTGAACATATCCATATATGAGGTGTTTCAAGGCTGTTTATATAAAATCACTTGATTTAATCAGGCCTTTAAACACTCCTAAAACTGAAATGATTCCCAGTGGTTTTATGGTAACCTAAGCCAAACCTATCCATACCTTCCATGTGCAGTGGCTTTAGAATAGGCCATTTTCTTCTGATACCAAATACTCAATTTCTGATAGAACTGCCCAACAATTACTTAGCAGTAAACTCTCAAATATTTTAGTTAAATGACTGCATAATTCATAAGTCTCTTGCTCTAGAGTTGATGATATATTTGAAAGAATATTCTCTAAGCTTTTGTTTTAAGCTAATTCTCTTATAGAGATTTGTTTCTTTGGGAGCTTCTAAAGACATTTTTTAATGCAAACAAGATTTGTGCTTAGGTTTTCTTGGTATACCAACGTAGGTAAATTTGGTAATATGCTAGGTAGACCACAAATTCCTTTTAAAACCAGCATCTGGCATATGTGGCCCACATATGGCAGAGTAACTAAATCAAGATCATATAAGAGTTTTTAGCAGAGGGATCCTTTCTATTTTGGAACATAAGGCATCTACTGAGTCAGGGAAGTTTTTTATTTTGTGAGGCCATTACTTACAATACAGCGTTTTTATGTAGCAAGCAGTGGCAAGAGGATTTTTCAACTACCTTGAAAAGCTGAAGTATGAATACTACCTCAAGGAATCCTTGAAACAAATGAATGTTGGTGAAGATTTAGAAAAAGAAGATTTTGACAGTCGTAGATATAAATACTTGGATGATGATGGATCTCTCTCTCCTATTGAGTCAGAGTAAGTTTACTCACGTGAAATAATTTTGGTCATAGGTTTTGTCGAATTAAATGTTTTTGAATTTTAATGTTCCATATCATGCTATCAATTTGTTTATATTTTGCAGTAAACCATTTGGGTTGGTAGTTGAGCTATGAGTTTGGCACATGAGACATCCATTTTGGGGTGTTACACATGATAGCGTAAATTTTCTTTTTAATTAGTATTGATGTTTCAGTTGTACATCATGATAGTATACTACTAATGGGTTCAGAAGTTTTTGTCATCTGAGTGAGGATATATTTTAATGTTACAGAGCAGAGGATGATCTTGCAACAAATCTTGAACATGATGACGAATGTGATATCAAATTGGTGGTAAGTGACATTTTTGTCTTATTTCGTCTTAGAATAGCAGTTGGTACAGGAAGAATTTATTCTACTAGTTACTTAGATTCTGAATTTAGTTTTTGAAAAGCTTAATAGATTTGGTGCAGGAAATAAAAATAGGGATTATTTGGATACTTACCTGGTGAGAACATGGGCTTTTCAGTAATTGCTATTAGGATGTCTAGTGAGGAAAAGAAGCTGAATTTGGATTTTTAACATTTAGACCGTCTCCAGGTTTTTTCAGTAACCTAGAGTTAAGTTATGTGGGATAACAAAAGCAGTAAAATTTAGTTGTTGCTTAATATGGATGTTTTTTATGCAGGACCATAATTATTTCATAGTAAGTTCTGAAGTACCAAAGAAGAAGAATGTGTATTTAGAACAAGAGGAATATACTGAAGAAGCAGCTGTGTCTAAAAGGAGAACATCAAGGTCCAAAAACATTGGACAGAGGATAGAATGGTCTGAAAAGGAGATAGGAATATGAATGTTAAGGTAATCAGCACAGAGAAAAACAGCTTTTCGTAGAAAATAAAGATGATAAATGCAAATATATATGTCAGTGATAAAAATGAATCTAAGGAGAAAATAAAAAGAACCTGAACAAATTAGTGAAACTCTGAATTATCAGGAAAAGCATTTTAAAGCTGTGGAATTGTTTACATGTAGAAAAGAATTAAGGCTTGCATAGCAGAAATAATCATGTGATAAATAATAAACAGGATCCTACTGTTTTTGTCCATACTTTGTTTCAGAGCAAGAGCTTAAAGGTGTCATTTTGAGCAAAGAAGTATGGAGATTATCTCCTGAAAACCTTTATTATAAATGTAATCACTAATGATTGACATCTCCTCGGGATACCTGAAGCCGTTTTTATCCCAGTTTTATTCAAAGACCTGTAGTGTCAAACGTGTTATTGTAATAAGAACTCTCTAACTACCTAGACTGTGTCAACTACAATTTTCTTCTCATCACCACTGTATATTGCTGATTATGCCACTAAATAACGCTGTATTGATTGCACTTGTGCTTGTTTTTGTTCAGTTTTGTGGACAAAGACTTAGACAAGTGCAGAAAATAAATCCTCTTTTGCAACCCAGAACTCATGGCTCAATATGAGTTTTGATACATGTAAGAAGGAACAAGATCCCTACAACCAACTAAAGTGATGGTGGGGGGTTTGATAAACTTGAAAGTTGGTTTCAGGACTGTAGAATGACTAAAGCACAAGACAAAAGGGAATTCTCAACTATGGTGAATTAGTATTACGATTTTAATGTTGACATAAAACAAAGATGCCTTCTTGTTGTAGGCTTTTCATTTGAGAGCACAAAGTCTGGACAAAGGTATGTCTTCTGCTTTCAGTGAAGGAATGTCTTTTGGTGAATTTTTGGATCAGATTTGTTTAAATGTACTTTATCAGATAATATAAACCTCTACAGGTTTCATTGTTGAAAGACATTTTCCCAGTTTTAATTTGTTTATGACGTGATTTCAGAAAAAGATTTTAGAGTTCATACATTTTATAGTGACAGATGCAAGCTTTACTTCACTTACAGGAAGGGGTCCCCAAACTGTAACTTAGGTTATGGCAATAATCAGAATACAGGATATTCCCACTTTAAGCATCTACGTTAGCTTAAACTAATGCATAATCTAAAATGAGGTTTAGGACTTAATAGTGTAATGTTAGAAATGATTACATGAGATTTCCTAAACCTGAATGATGGAAAGGTTAATTCACAGTCATCCAATTTCTTTTATTATCTTCCAGGGATTCCTGAATGGGAAGAACATAAGTACAGCCATATTAATATTTTCCTGAAAATTAAAAAAAAATTTTTTTTTCAACGTTTATTTATTTTTTGGGACAGAGAGAGACAGAGCATGAACGGGGGAGGGGCAGAGAGAGAGGGAGACACAGAATCGGAAACAGGCTCCAGGCTCTGAGCCATCAGCCCAGAGCCTGACGCGGGGCTCGAACTCACGGACCGCGAGATCGTGACCTGGCTGAAGTCGGACGCCTAACCGACTGCGCCACCCAGGCGCCCCTTCCTGAAAATTTTTTAAGTCAAATAACTGTAGTTCTTAAAATGAGGCAGAATCTTAAACATTTTGCTGTAATCCTGGGAATTTCATTGGAGTTTGTAAAAATCAAGACTTCAGACATGGAAATCTTTTTTCTTTGGTGGTTCTAGAATAGCTATTTGGTACTTTGCATGTCTATCTCAGTATACACTCTGGTAACCAACCATTCAGAAAATCCTTATCATGCGATTAAATTATGGAATAAGTTTGTTGTAAATAGGATGTTTGGCTTTTTGCACAATTTTGAACTCAGATTTAGAGCAAATCACAGGTCTAATTGTTTTCTTGTGGAATCTTCAGTTTTAAAACTGTAAACAGTGGTTGAGGTCTATCCCGATGGGGCTTTTTCTGTAGACCTACATCGTTGGAAACGCCTCATAGAGTATATGTGTGGTTTCCTTTATTCACAGAACTATGTGTTAGATCTGTGGGAAAGAACTACAAGACATCTATCTGCTAAAACACTGAAAGACCTAACGGTCATATATTTTAAATCTTAGGTATTGGAGTATCCCAAGAATCTGTATAGTTCAGGGCGTGCTAGTTTAGGTAAGTTTTTGTTGGGGACAGTGTAATCTTGGGGGCACCGTTACAGTTCACATGATGAATTTAACTGTTCAACTGCTGAATGATTACAGACATGAACTAAAACTTGATTCTGACGGAGCTGACGATAGCTTAAAAAAAAAAAAACCCATGGTTGTCAATTTGGATGCTAAGCACCTATTTTAGATTTTAATCACACATTTAAATTGTTCTTAATCTTTTATTTGGTATTTTATCTGTAGGGGTGAATATGATTTGAACTCATTTACGTTTAGAGGTAGGTGGAATGTTTAATTTTTGTTGAAATTTATTAAGAATTCAAAAGTACTGAAAAAATGTGAGTTGTGAGTACGGTATCCCATTACTGTTGTGCCTCGTAGTTATTTGGGTATGCCACAGAAGTATTAGATCTTAGGGTGCCTAGGTGGTTCAGTCAGTTGAGCAGTCTGACTCAATTTTGGCTCAGATCACGATCCCAGGGTCATAGGATTGAGCCTTGTGTCAGGCTCTGCGCTGAGCGGGGAGCCTGCTTGAGGTTTTCTTTCTTTCTCTCTCTCCCTCTGCCCATCTCCCCCACTTGTGTGTTCTCTAAAATTAAAAAGGTGTCGAGATCTTGGCAAAGGTACTTGCCATGATATTTATACACCGAATTGGACAAACTGAGGAGACTGCATGTCTAGGGAATAACATGAAAATGCCCCCTCCCGTCTTGTATCCTTATGAAACCATTGCTATGGTTCATCCTAATAACCTGTGTATTTTGGATATGTTACAGTACGGATATTGAATTTAAATTCTGCCTAATAGCAATCTGAGCTACAGATTGATTTCGCAGTCCACAAGCCACAGTCTTGATTTCTAATGCATCATTTCTTTTAGTATTTGACTTAATAGTTCCGTATGTATAATACAGAGACAGGATAAAGATAATGGGGACTAGATTTATAATTTCAGATGCAGTTAATGTAGTTGCCTCATTGGAATGATAATTAGGAATAAAAGTCAAATTACATATTACAAGAACTTAAATCTCTAGAGATAAGTTTCTCAGTGGTGTTGCAACCTTGAAGTACAGGGGTTTACAGTTCAGTCATGATTGCACTGCATGGTATCTGCATTCAGCAGCTTGTTCCTGCTGGGTGTTCAAAGGACAGTGCAATATCAATTCAGTATCTGGCATCGTTGGTTTTCTTGGCTTCGTGCATGGTAAACCTGGTATTTTTATTGAAACAGTATTCCTATAGTTTTTCGTATTACTGAATTTGAGATCATCTTTGATAGGAACTAATGCTTCTCTTTTTTTCTAGGGTGTTTGAAATTGAGAACCAGGGGTCCATCTAGTCTGACCCTAAACATGTAAGGTTTTCTATTTCTGTTGCTTCTGGTGGGTGCTTTTATTGCTAGCAAACAGCAGGACTTCTATATGGAATCAGAAACCTTTGTATAGCTTATACATAAGCTTGAGAGGAAATTTTTAAAAGCCTCATTCATTCTAAGGTGGAAGTGGGCACTATCATTCATGGTGTCCAGGAATTGTTAATGTGGCTACATTGAGACACAGGTAATGCTTGCATCACAGCAAGTTTATTGCAGTGGTGACAATGAGACCTGTAACATTTTCTGCTAGGCCTGTGGAGTAGAGTGGAAGTAACAAGACTTTCCCATATTGGAAGCAGTTAAGGGATAACAATTTTATAGATCATTTGCCAAAACAGCAATCAGTGTAATTCTTAAAACTTGATTTCTAGGGCCCTAAAGTAAAAAAAAAAAAAACTGGATCCCAAAGATTGCAGGTAAGATTTCCCCTCAAGTGCCCAATCTTACAGGAGTTGAAAGCTTTTTCTTTCATAACACTTCATTAATGTTCCTAATGCTTTGGTTTACCTAATTTTGGCAACAGCTAATCCTGGTGGTTTATTGTATCCTAATTAAAAAAAAAAAAACCCTAGATATTAACGTGTGTTTATACAACTTGCCAGTAATTTGTGATGTTATGATGATGGGCAAAATGTTCAACTGCTCTGACTGGGCTGAATGAAAGTAGCCTTTCTGAACATCCATCTAAATGAAATCTGGGGGACACTGGATGGCTCTGTCAGTTCAGTGACTTCAGCTCATGACCTCATGGTTGGTGTATTTGAGTTCGGGCTCTGGGCTGATAAGCGCTGAGCCTGCTTGGGATCCTCTATCCCTCTCTCTCGTGCCCCTCCTGCACTGGCATGTTCTTTCTTCCCAAAATAAATACAGTATTTAAAAAATAAGTGGGGGCGCCTGGGTGGCTCAGTCAGTTGCGTGTCCAACTTTGGTTCAGGTCATGATCTCGTGATTTATGAGTTTGAGTTCCACGTTGGGCTCTGTGCTGACAGATCAGAGCTTGAAGTGTGTCTCCCTCCTCTTGGCCCCTCCCCCACCCAAAAAAAAACAAAAAAATGGAATGGGTTGAAAAATTAATTATTCCAACTCTGCATTTTTAAGCCTGGAAATTTCAATATGTATTAGTTCAGAACTGGGTATCCGGCTACTCTGAAACCTAATTAAAACCACATTTTGAGAAATTTAGTCTAAACTTTAAAATCGTCCATAGGTGGGGAATTCCTGAAGTATGTCCATATTCAAGTGGAGATTAAAGAAGCCCAAGGGAAAGAACTCTGGCAAGTTAGTTCTTTATCTTATCTTTAATGGTATAATGGTCATTACCAAGGCTTTGAGAATGTAGTTTCTCATTTGCTGTGGACATGACCATAAAAAATTTTTCCACTAGGCTTGCTTTCTTTATGCTACTTTGCTAGCGTTCAGCCTATTGGGAACATTTACAACAGCCATATTTCAAATTCTCATCTGACCATACATAGTATTTTGAAAGGTGCATGCCTAGATCTCTGTTGTTACTAGTAACTGGGCAACTTGTAATATTAATAATTGATCTAATAGAGGGAGATTGGCTTTATTTATTTACAGGATCATCTCTGGAAATGGAGTTTTACTTTTCTATTCCTTTTCTATAGGATAGGACTGATGGTGACAACTGTGTATTGAACAGAAAGCTCCTTTTAAAAGGTATGTACACATTTGAAAAAATTTAAAGGTCTAATTTATAGGTCATTTCAAAGAGGGCTTGTGGGGCTAAAACCAAGAGCCCTTAACGCTGTGACCAGATATCGAAGTTCTCCATAGGATATAATAGTTACTCAGTGTTGCTATGTTTTCCTGAGGAGATACAAGATTTAGCTCCTTTACAGCCATGTGGGAAAGAAATGTCTCCCAAATTTAACCAATATATACTCTCGTTCTCAGGGCTATTTTGAAGAATGTGATTCTGACTCGGAGGAACGACGGTGCTTGGGAGTGGAAGGAATCCCATGTTAAAATTCTTAAATAAAAATTTATTGACTTTAAATAACTTCACCTATGTTACACATAATTTAAACAAAGAATCTTTACACATTTTGTAGAAAGTCAGCACGTATTTTTGGCTCGAAGTTTCTCTAGTGTTTTCTGTGGAGGGAATAGAAAAATGAAATTAACAGTTGCAGTGCCCTAGACCTGGAAAGATTATAGGGGGCCTCACTCACCTTATGAAATTCTTTTGCCCTTGCTCGGTTTTGGGCATATGCATCTTGCTTTGCTTTCTCTTCCCTTTGCTGTTTCACTTCAGCTAACTGATTGTATAATCTGTAAGAAATTTATTCTTACATATTCTTCGTACTCTCAGTAATACTTAAGGAATGTGAGTAACCACACACGACACAGAAACATATACATACCTTAAAGCCCTTTGACGCATGAGGGCTTGTGCAGTCTTTCTGTCTTCAGGAAGTGACACTGTGACCTTATTCACACCCTTCAGGCGACTCACAGATGAGCCTGAGCAGAGAATAAGTGATCTGGCAAATATTACCCTGCTATATGCTCTTTGTGAGAATTGATGCAGATGTGGGGAACATACCTGTTGGTTTCTCCTTAGCTGTTTTGATCTGAGATTTCTCAGAAAGGTAAATCTTATTCTTTATTTCTTTCTGTCTCTGGGAAGATCTCTCTATAAATGATTTTTTCCTCTTTACAAATGCTTCTTGTAAGCTCCCAGGTATAGCTGTAAACTTCGGCAGGGTTTCTGTTTAAAGATGAAATTGAAGCTTATTTTTAGCTCATTGACACTTTTGTGCTGGCAGTCTACGAGATTGTGGGGAATGTGAAGGCTGAGAGGTTGAGCAGGGGACCCTTTCAGATGCTCAAGGCATACCTGCCGAAACGGCCACTGGCTCCTCCACACAGTGTTCTGATACAACTGGATAATCTGAGGTTTCTTTTTCTGATATAAGAGGCAGAAATTCATTCACCTAATTGCAAGTAAATCATAGATAAAATCATAGGTAAATGATCTTCCACTAACCTTAACAGTTTCTAAACCCCTGGTTCCTTTTGGTAGAGGGAGATTTGCTGTTTGGGGGAGATGGGAAGTTGAGTGCCTATTCTCAATCCCCAAATACAGTGTAGGAATCTGCGTCCAATGAATTTAGTTCCTATTCTGTTTTCACCACTTTGTGTGGTTTCTCACATCTAAATGGCAGGGCTGGAGTTTTCTGGGAAGGGAAAGTCCTTAATAAGTGGTTCTATTCCTATTAAGATGCTTTACTCTCCAGCTCTGTTAGAGAATGGCTTTTGCCCAGCCTCCTCTAGCCCAAAGCTTTTTTCCTCACCTGATTCTTGTCAAGTGCTTCTATACCACTTCTGCATCTGCACTTCTTGTCTGCTGCCTCCCCATTACCCTTCTCAGTAATCATGGAAACAAATACTAGGTGTGGAACTATTTTTTTAAGATGAATTCTCTAATTCAGCATCAGGCTACAAAAACATTAGTCCTGCCACGGTAGTAGCACGTACAACCTGGGACTTTGGTAGCAGGGCAACTTAATACACTGAAATAGTTGATGGGTGGTGACTTAGACTTGGCTCAGTTTCCAACTGTAGTTCTGTTGTAATCCATGAATTCATCTATTATAAGCTTTACAGCAGGATTTCCTCCAATGACTACCTTCTAAGAATTGAAGTGAGCCCCATAGGAATGGTCTGCTTGCAGTGGAGAAAAGTACAAGGAACCTGCAGCTAATAGGACTGTAAATCTGTTGTACTCAAGTTGATAATTTGAAAATAAACTTGCAATAGCACTTACTCTGTATCCCCATTAGGTCTGATTTACTTATGTATCTTCTAGAGCTTCTCTGTGCCTCAGAATTTCCTATATCTTTTATTGGGGGATGGAAGGCATGAGTTTCAACCCTTCTAAGCCCTAATGAAATCTGCAGCATCATAAATAATTCCTTATTCTCAGCTGTGTGCTGCTGTGTAAATGAAGTGTATTCACATTAAAGGGAGCTATGACCTTTACCTGAAAGCTGCTTTTTGCCTCATTTTCTTTCTTTTCTTCTAGGGTTAAGTTTGCAAACTCCATTTCAGCAATACTGATATCACTGGTGCTTACTAATGTAAGCTCTGGCTCTTCCATTATACCATGTCCAGACTCTGTCAACTGTGTGATAAAATTGAAAAAGAAACCATATTCAAAGTAACAGCCTTGAAATAGTAAAAATGTAAAAGTAATGTACATTGACAATGTGGTGCCTCCCCCATCCCAACCCACTTTTAGAAATACTGAAGACTTTGGGGATGGGCAAAATGTCTGAAGATAGCTACTGCAAGAATTATAAGCCCAAGTGTTTATATTATAGGGCTGATGCAGGTTGACAGGCAGCAGTGCAGAACCTGAGGGTGTAACTGACCTATCTAAAGGAGCAGGAGCTAGTGGACTGTTCTCAAACTACATCTTTAGAGGGAAGTATCCAACTACTGAGTAAGAATCTGCAAAAGAACACCCCAAAAGGAGCAAAATATCTGTGACCTAGATGTCACTCTTGCTCTCAATCTGTATTACATGTTCATCTGTGGAAGGACAATACTGAAAGGTAATACTCAGGCGACCGGAGTTGAAACCAAGCAGATTAATACAATGCAGTGCCAAGAAATTCCACACTGAAAGTGCTGAAGCATAGGCCAAGCTATTCCTCAGGGAAATGAGGGGGGGATATGTCGATTGGGAGCAGACCGGTTGTAAAATTTAAAGGTCAGCTTAAAACCTGAGCTCAGAACCTGCTTGGAATGCTCTGTCGTCTTCCTCTCTGCCCCTCCCCCTATGTGCCCTCTCCCTCTCAAACTTCAAAAAAAAAAAAAAAAAAAAAAAACAACTTGAAATTTGGGAGTTTGCTCATTTCATTGGAAATTTCCAATGATTACATGATTGACTAGCTCAGGAATGTTAAGTAGCTTTATTGCTTCTAAATTTGTTTCAAAAGTCTTCCTTGGAAATGAATTTATTTCCACACAACACAGATTTCACTTACCCACATTGGAATAGAGCTCTGTAATGATCCAGAACTTAAAAAGAGCTCTGACTGTGCTAGTTGAGAGAGGTTTCTTAGGATTTCTGGAGTTTCTGCTTTAGCTGAATTCTCAAAATATTTTTCATTCTGAACAGAATATGGTGCTTGAACTGAAGTTCCCATCTCCACTGTTCTCAGACACAACTGTGAATCGATTTCCTCTACTTGTGAATTTATATTTAAAACCCCACAGGTTTCCTTTCTGTCTCCATTGAGTCCTTGACTTTGTAACATTGTATCAATCCCTCTTTCTGATAGTTTTTCAGAGCACAGTGTTTCTTCTCTGCCTTCTGGTTGGGCTTTTATTGAGCATTCACTAGAGGTAGAACCACAGGGAGTGCTATGCTGTAGATTTAAGTGATGAAATACATTAGCCTCATCAGATGACCTGAAGCCTGAATTTTGTAAATTTCCTACAGAGAGCTGGAAAGGAACACTTTTTTTCCTATTTTGTAATTCAGTCTGTGCAGAGTAGTTCTGATTTTCCATGCTTTGGGAAGAATCTCTTGCTTCAATGCTAAAAATACTTGGTAGATCAACATGCTGGCTCCCCTCCTGTGAAGAAAATTCTGGCAGAAGCTGTTGAAAAGACTGTTCAGAGCCTGTAAGAAATAAGTTAACCATAATTACATGTTGTAAAACCTGGATAACAGTTTGAGTAAATAATGAATTCAGCTTACTTCCTACTACTTGGGGAGTGAAAGCTGATGTATGTATACATGAATAGAGAACGAAAGGATGGTCACAGTGATTTTTAATAACTCCACTGCTCATACCATGTATTTTCTCCTAGTCTAATAAAGAAAATATGGTTATTAGATCTGCTGAGGACTTTTCCCTCATTAAGAGAGAATACCGATTTTAATAACAGACTAAATGCGCACATTATGTACCTCATATATAAAAAGGTGTGCATATGTGTGTATATAAAAAATTTGTACAAGAAGTATTTTTTTTTTGAAAGACCAAAAGCGTGAGCAGGGAAGAGGGGCAAAGGGAAAGAGGGAAGGAGAAGAGAGCGACAGAGACAGAAAGAGCGAGAATCTTAAGCAGGCTCCACACAGGGCTCTAGCTCATGACCGTAAGGTCATGACCTGAGCTGAAATTAAGGGTAAGACACTTAACCTGGAAGCTTTACTGGCCTGTATAAAAAGTTTTATAAGGATACTTAAACTGTTAACTGGAAGGGCTGAGGTAAGGAAGTTGAGGAACAAGAGGTAGTGCTTTTGCTTTTATCAAATTCCATACTGTAAAAATGCAAACAGCATTATTACTCCTGTTACTTAAACGGATACACAGAGAAACAGAAGTTGTAACACTGGGGATTGGTGACCGCAGGAGTGGAGACATACCAAGACCTGCCAGGCACAATTTCCAAAGAAAATGGATGTAAACCATGGAAAAAGCAGTGGAGTTTCTTTAACTTTTTCTAACTTAATCATACACACCCTCAGTAATGTTTTCTGTAGCAAAAATCTGAGCTGCAGCATGAGCCAAGTGAGGGTCAGGTTGCTGGTTCGGGCTTGTGTTAGAAGGATTCAGGCTGGTTCTCAGCGCTGTAAAGGAAGCTGTACTTTTGGATGAAACGGTAGTACGGTGGCTTTCCCATGAAGAATCAGAGTTCTGACGAAAACAACAGAGAAAGGCTGAAATACTGATTATGTATTACCAACCGAATCAATAATCACGTTCTTATGATACTACTCTTCCTTAATTACCACTTCTCTTTCACACTAGTAATTTGACTATTTAAACCCATTCTTCCATTTCAGTCAATATGAAAGAGGCTTTTTATTTATTTTTTTTTTTAATTTTTTTTTTTTCAACGTTTA